TTTACAATGAGAAAAGTATGTATGTTTATAGAAAAATAAATCCACAAGCAAAATTAACTTGATTTGTAGTTTATATATGCTTTATGTTCATATATAAATATGTGCAAACAGCACATTTCTGCTTTTCCCATTGTAAAAAAGAATGTTAGCAGAACAAGGTAAATTCTGAGCAGGAAAATCAAAAGGTTGTATATTTTCTTAAAAAATCAACCACTCCACCTCTTTGAAAAACCCTTTTCCCCCAGAAATCGTGTAAACTTCTGTGGAATTTTCTTCGCTGTATTTTGGAAGATAAATTGTCAAGGCTTAGTAAAAATTTCAAATATTTTATCATCACTATGTAAACACTAAACATACACACCTCACAACCCCCTCCCCCATCTAAAAACACGAAGCGCGTCTATGCTTTAAGAATAGTAAACTTATTAAGATTACCTTTTATATCTGTATTTTCAAGCTTTATATCTTCTTCAGGTATATTAAAACATTTATCCTCTACAGTTGAGGTTATCTCAGATTCCTTGACATATACTTCTTTCTTCATAATCTCTGCCATTCTATCTGAAAAATAAATAAACATATGTGACATCATTTCCTTCATTAAAATGATAACATGTCTATTCTGTCTGAACCACAAATTCAAAACAAAAGAAATAAATGTTTGATGATAGCCCCCAGTCAATGTAAATTTTTATGCAATTCTTTGGCAGCATTATCAGAACAGAGATTTTTGAACTTACTAATTTCTGAGAATTAAGCGATTTTGTTTATACCACCAAATTATAGATAATACACAAACAACTATAAAATTTATTTAAGATAAGTTTTCAAAATGAAACAAAAAATTCAAATGATTAAAATCAAAAATAACTTACAATTGTGACATTAAGATTAGAAAATTTTAATTATGTGACATAAGTTTCCACAAATTCAAAACCAAAAAAAAAATTAAAGTTTGATAGCCCCCAGTTATGGTAAATTTGTATGCAATTCCTTGGCAGCATTATCAGAATAGACATATCTAAACTCAATTATGTTTATTTTTAAAATGTTTTTTCAGAGCTCCTTTCTGAGTTGCAGCATAATTACATTCAGGACAAGAATATCTTACTCCTTCATGTTTACTTTCCACATGTCTCCTCAGGTAACTTGCTGTAGTTGCGGCATACTCACATTGAGAGCAAGGATATCTTACTCCTTCATGTTTATTTTCAACATGAATTTTCAGGACATTTTGTTGAGTTGCAACATACTCACATTGAGAACAAGAATATCTCACTCCTTCATGTTTTTTTTCAACATGAATCTTCAGGCTACTTGCTGTAGTTGCGGCATACTCACATTGAGAGCAAGGATATCTTACTCCTTTATGTTTATTTTCAACATGTCTCTTCAGATCCCTTGCTGAATAAGCGGCATGTTCACATTGAGCACATATATATCTCACTCCTTCGTGTTTACTTTCAACATGAATCTTCAGGCTACTTGCTGTAGTCGCGGCATACTTACATTGAGAACAAGGATATCTTACTCCTTCATGTTTATTTTCAACATG